TTACACAGCAAGTCAACATTCTCTATTATTAAATTAGGCATTACTACCACAAGAATTTTGCTAGTTTATTCAATAATATTGTTATGTTATTGAAATACTAGTAAATTGAATTAAGAAATATTTTACTGACAACCTAGATAGCACAACTGAAAAGAATTCATTTTCTTGACTTTTTTATGAATTAGCGTAATTTGTTCAAAATAAACTTAAAAAGAATTTCTCTTTGACAATTAACAAAGGATTCCATAAAAGTTCTTCTAAAAGAGTTAAATTGAAGTTAAAGAAATCATTTTTTTGTTCGTAATGGGTTCGAAAAAAATTTATTTTTGGCTTGATCATAATATACTTGTATAAAATTATTTCCATTACAAATCTTGATCTGCCGCCACTAGAATTGTACCGTACTTGAGTGATTGCTACGAGCATAATAGAAATTAGTTTTTCCAATAGCGTTTTATATACATACATACAAAAAATATATATACAAAATATATATTACATATACATATTATATATGCATACATTTGTATACATAATTATACGTGTTCAAATATAAAAGTAAAATTTAATTTAAATAAAAAATTAAATTTGACTTATTCTTATACAGAATTAAGAAATATAAATTAATAAAAATATATGCTGCGACAAAATATATGATAATACAAAGAAACATATAATACATATACTTTTAACTGATTTATATTTTTAAATATTTTCTTTATTAACCCTAATATAATATTCATGGGTTCAACGAACCTTATCCGATTTTTTACATTGCTGTAACTTTTTTATTATATTATATAATTTGAAAACCCGGATTAAGGCTAAAAAAATTTTAACTATTTCATAGATATGATAAGCCTGCAAGGGTATTTTTTTTTCCGTTATCCTCGATATGAGAATGCACAAAAATTTAAAGAGATTATTTGAGACCCACATGTGACTAGCTTGTAAGTTTTCGACGTTCTGGATATCCCTTTATTTTTTATTCAATATACATCTACTGAGCTTCGGATAGTATAAAAATAAGTACACGAAAATGTAGAACTGAAAAGAATTATATTTCAATATAATAAATAGTAGAAATTTTATAATTTCTGTTAGTTTTCGGAGATCGTTTGGCCGGGGTTAGATTTATTGCTTTAGAGCGAGTTGTTGCATCATTCTCTAAACTAAATCCTAATAAAATTAATTGTACATACTATAATAATAATATACATGTACAATCCTTTATCTACTTATATTATGATTCATTTATATAGTTCCAATAATATAATTTTATTTATTAATTGTAAACTTAAAATATGTAGATTCTTCAAAAATGTCGATTTTCGATAGTTCAAATAATTATACTTTTTTGAACGATTCATATTGTACTATTTTTTTTGTTAGTCAACTAAAAGGGTTAACTAAAAAAATTCTACAAGTTTTTGCTTAAACATTAAATTAAAAAATTTAAGAATTTTTTATCTAAAGTAGTCGTTTCTTGTAAATTTTTCCAATGAAATTTCTTTGAAGCATTGTAATTAATTGAAAATAAAATATTATTTAATTTGTTCATATTTATCTGTCTTTGTCTGACTTCAAGATATAAATTTCTCACGTGTTAAGCGAAAAAATACGTGTTTAGTCCAAAGATATAGTGCGACAAAGTTGTAAAGTTTCACAAATCCTGTGTTATAAAAAATCCAGTGTTATAAAGAAGGTAACCAAAAATAATAATATCATACTAGGATTAAAATATTTTTGTTACAAACTATATTTTAATTAATTTTTATTTTGTATTTCGGAGCATTCCAATAATCTCAATCTATTTAATTTTCCAATTTCAATTTCAAAAAGAAAGAGCATAAAATGAATAGCTTTAGAACTCAGAATACTAAAAGTTATTTCAATTTTATTGCGAATTCATTTAGATTAAAAAAAGCGTACCTTTTAAATCCGAAAAAAAGATTCACAATTGGTGACATCAAAGAGAATTCTTTTGAGATACTTAGAAATACTTTTAGAATAGAAATGAGATAGAAAAAGAATTCATTTTGTAAGCCGGGAATAAAAAAAGAATTTGTTTTGAATTTTTTGCTATCTGGGAGTGTATAAGATTTTAACACTTTGTTCTTCTGATTTACAACATTCTAGCGGTGTAATGCTTGTTTTACATAACAACTACAGAGCACATATTATAAAATAGATTTCGGTCGGAATAATTCTGAATTTCTTGCAAAATACAATAGAAATTTAGGCAATAACTCCATCGAAATCTATTCGGAATAATTCTATAATACCTATCCTAAAAAATACTTAATTCTGAGGTATTTACCAATTAAACTAATAATAAGACAACTGAACAGTACTTGTACGAGCAAGACGATACTTATTACATCGGTCAAAAGTTCCGCAAGCTCTATTAAATAACGATGTCTTAGTGTCAATATTGAAAAATATTTATTTATGTTTTTGCTTTTCACGCCATAGTTAGTAAACTCGATTTTTAAAAGTTCCAGTTGACCGCAAACGTGGAGAGTGATTGCGAGAAAAAGTGAATCATTACCTTTATAAATATATTTCAATATTGTATTAAAATATTTTACATTAAAAAAATTTAATTATAATAGAAAGATTATCAATTAAGATCTTCTGAAAAAGTAATGTGTAAAAAAATATAAAAGATATTACGTATAACAATTATAGGAAATACGACATCTATTAAAAATAATATTTATTAAAAAGTATTTGGAAGTTCACTGCATGGGTGTGTATATGTAATATAAATAAAAGTGAAGTTTTAATTAGATATCAAGTTTAGTTTAAATGTCAATAGTAAATAAAATTACTGAAATAAAAGTGTAAACATGAGAAATTTTATTAATAAATTTTATGAAAAATAAAATGTTTAAAATAAATTTGTATTCTATACAAAATAAATTCGTATTTATATACAAATCTCTTTGATATTAACAGTTAGTTTATTACCACAATTGCTGGTACCAGTAAGCAGGAGTATAAAATATTGCACCGTAGAAATTACGAAGAATAAACCCGTAGGAATTCGCAAATCCCCTAAAAATGTTATGGGCACTGGTAATTTTGCTGCTTGATTTTTAATGGATACATTAATGTAGATATCCTCATCGTCTGTCATCATAGGTGCCAGCGTAAAAATTGATGAAGCTAAATAAGCAAAAAATACGATACTGTAGCAAATCATTCTTCCCATAAATGCGTGCTGCCGCATGATTGTGCGCTTCTCCTCGGTGTCAACTGTAGAATAATCGTTCACTGCAGAAGAGTAATTGCGAATCAGATTGTCAGCGTATAAGCGGAACGACAATAGCTTTAGTACACAGAGAACGTTGCAGAACATTAGCATAAGAGCATCAAGTTTTATATATGCATCACTGCTGCCGAAAATGATTTCGAAGAACAACATGATCATCATCACGATCTGCACAGATAGGAAGTATTGTTTATTATATAAAGCTTTATTACGGTTTTTCGTTTCCACTACATTCACGCTGCACCGAACGCTTCACTTGATCTGTCGAACTTGATATATTAAATATATTTGCAAATGACACAGAAATTTTATTACCTAGAATATGTAATATGAAAATTGAAAACGTACCAAACTGAAGCCGCACGTGATAGAACGTACTAAAGAAAATGTATTATATTTTTGCAATGGCCAGACGCCTAATGGCAGAGTTAAGAGTTTGAAGGGAGTCATAGCGTAGGCCACATCGTCATTCCATGACATTATCTTAGTCATGTAGAGCTACACGTTATACGATTCTCAATAATGTCGGTCTTTGTCCGTAATGTGAGTCGATCATCGGCGCGTCGTTTGTTCTTTTACGTTCATATTTTATTGAAGTTGCGCAATTTAACATTTTACTAAAGTACTCCGTTATTTTTTAAAACACAATTATTTTAGAAACTGAACAAAACAGTTTTTTTATATAGAAGTAGAGTGAAGCAAAGATCGAATTGAAGGAGACGGTATTTCATTTTTTTTTCCAATACTTCATCCGTCATTGATCATGTTACTATATCCTTTATTCCGATACCATATTTATATTAGAAACATATAAAATTAATATAGAATTTAGTGCATTAACTTTTTATAATTTGACAACAGTGTTATTGATGTCAACATTTATATCTGCTTGATATTTATTTATATAGCCAAATGTATTGAAAGTCAATTTTGCAAAATGTCTGCTACAAATTTTCTTGACAGAGAATACTAACAAAAAATAACAGAATATGTTATTGCTGTTATTATAATAAAAATAAAAATTAGAATTGAATTTAAAAACAGGATGACAGAAGGTTATAAATGGAAACAGTTGAAAACACAATAAATTAATATATAAACGTTTTTTTTGGTTCGCTCTTTAATTTACGCTTTCTGGAAGTTTACGCTCTGATATTTTCTTTTTACATTCAACATACACTTCGATTTTTCTCTAGAATAACAGAATATGATAACAGATTGATTGCAGAAAACTAGCAATATTTGCTATATATATATTGGTAACTATTTAAGTGACATTTATATAGTCATTAAATGATTAATTTTTCATTTTTGCAATCTACTGTCGAATTATATTGTTATATTATATTATAAAATAGTGGCAGAACACGAATTTAATACAAATATTGATGATGACAATTTGTATTCTATACTCGAATCTGTTACCAAGCTGCTAGCATATTGTACATATTTTATTTATTCAATAGTTATTAAATTGCATGCAATGATTGTATTTTCACAATCGCAAGGCACGTGCTGTTACAAAATCGTCTTAAAGTGACGGGGGTGATGTACAACATGTGACAATATTTACTAATGTAATAAAATAACTTATATTATTTATTTTAATTTGATTATTTAGTTCTAGACATATCGTATGTCTTGAAGTAATTTTACAGATGATATTGTCTACGTATGTACGGTGTCACCTCTTCAAGCTCTTGTCTCTGAAGTTACTCGCGCTCTAAGTTTCCACCATCACTCGTAGGATGGATAAGTATGAAAGCGAGCTTTTCAATATTGTCATGTAAGTTTTAATATTTAGAACAAAAAATCTACCAGCTAGCAATTGAACAGGTTGTTGTGATCGCATGATTACTAACAAAATGTTCCTCATCAATTTAGTTGGCAAGTAATACCAGTTGGAACTGTAAATTGAGTGAGCGATTTGTTCAACTTGACATTTCATATAATCGCCCACAAAACTGTAAAAGAATAACTGTAACAGTAGACCACTCAGCACTGAAATAGTTTTAGTTATCATTACTATATCATGCGATTTTAATGCCAAGATAAATTGAAAACCTGAAAAACATAATTAAACAGCATTGAAGTCAACATTCTTTATTATTAGGCATTACTACCACAAGAATATTGCTAGTTTATTCAATAATTTTGTTATGTTATTAAAATACTAGGAAATTAGATTAGAAAATGTTTTTCTGACAGTCCAAATAGCACAACTGATCTATTTGAACTTGAAAAGAATTCGTTTTCTTGACTTTTTTATGAATTATCGTAATTTATTCGAAATGAACTTAAAAACAATTCCTTTCTGACAATTAACATAGGATAATCCATAAAAGTACTTTTTACAGAGTTATATTCAAGTTAATTTAAAGAAATCCTTTTTCTGTTCGTAATGGGTTCGAAAAAAATTCATTTTTGTCTTGATCATAATATAATTATACAAAATTATTCCCGCTACAAGTCTTGATTTGCCGTCACTAGAATTGTATCGTGCTTGAGTAATTGTTGCGAGCATAATAGAAATTATTTTTTGCATTTTGTATACATATATATAAATATATATATA